ATGACTGTTTGAATCGCTGTTTCACACGAATACTGTTTTCTAAAGTTCGACTGATGTTCTGTTATAATACAATTATCTTCCAAATACGTTTCAATTTGCTTTTTAACTACTAATTCTAACACTTTAAAATACTGCCTTTAATATATCGCACTTTAAAATACTGCCTTTAATATATCGCTAGTTATTCCCTTCTCTGTACCTTTCTTTTTCGGTAGTCCCATAACAATTTCCTGTAAATGCTCTATACTAATCATTTCAAAATTTTCCATAATTCCCTCGTTTTCAATAACATAAATAATTCTTTTACATGCATTCCCAGTTTTACTCCCATTTATAGATTTTACTATACTATTAATACTTTGTATATAATATAATAATTCCCTTAACATAAATAATTCTTTTACATGCATTCCTAGGTTTACTCCCATTTATAGATTTTACTATACTATTAATACTTTGTATATTTTGTATATAAAATTTATCTGCTATATTGCATCCTTCAGTGCCGTCTAATATTTCAAAATCTATATTCTCTACTTCCCTCTTACCCCCTGGTTCGCCTCTAATTATTTCTTTTAGTGTTTTCCACATAGATGTAGGATTTTCTTTATTAAGATCTATCATATATTCATAATACTCTTTCTTCTTTGTCTTAATTAATTTAACTACTGTATTTCTTTCAATTTTAAATTGCAACCAATTTTGTTCCGTTCAGCATACAATGCCTTCCTATATGCCTCATCCCTTTTAGCCGCTGCTTCTCTTATTTCATCCGAAAACCACTTTTTCCCTTCCCATATTCTCGACATTTTAAAATTTTTTCTAGGTGCTGTGGCGTCCAACGCATTTACTATACTATCAACAAATTTCTTCGCTCTCACACTGATATTCATATCTTGGTTTTTCTCTAATTTATTTTCCACTAATTTAATAAATTCATCTATATTAAACTCTCTATAATTCCTAACACTAAGTTCTCTGTATTTATTATCAAATTTATTCGCATTCAGTTCAACTTTAAGCCACGCATGGTCCGTTATTTTAGGTTCATGCATTACCTGCATTTCTATTTTATTATTAGCAAAAATTAAATCTATAATTGTTTTACTATCTTTCGTAATTCTCGTCGGTTTATTTACATATTGTTTCATGCCTAAGCTCAACATTGTCGTTTGTAACTTCCTTGTATAAAACGAATCTAACATAATATATCTATATTAAAGTCTCCTATTATCATACATTCTCCCCGTATTATTAACTCTTCTATTATATCCTCCAGAAATCTCACGAAATCACCATGCGATGCACTCGGTGAATGATATATTACCATTATTATTCCTCTATACAATTTTTCTTTCACCTCAATCGCAGCACACCAACAATTCGATTCTAATTTTTTTTACTAATACTATTTCATATTTAACATCATCCCTTATATATAAAACAACCCCTCCTGTATTTATATTTTCAGCATCGCATCTAATTATGCTATAACCTGGTACGTTCACTTCACTGTCTTCAATTTCAGCAGTCAATCTTGTCTCTGATAACGCTATGAATGCCGGATTTACTTTCTTCATAATCTGATGTTGTATCTCATCTTTATGCGCCATCAAACTTTGCGCGTTTGTATACAATATTATTTCCGCTTCCTTCTGTAGTTGCTATTTCGCATCTTCCCAGCCGGCTCTCCTCTTCTCCTCTTGTATCGCCCTTTTAAATGTTGGACATTCTGGGCTAAGGGCGTCGTGTTCATCACTTATCTTCAGGTTGTATGTTCGAATTTTAAACATACAATTTACACATTTTTTCTTTGTTGCCGTACATTCAATCGCTTTATGATTTCCCGCACATTTGTGGCATGTTTCATCTCGCGTACAATTTTTTGCAATATGATAGTATCCCCAGCATTTAAAGCATCTTTTAACATTAATGTGATTGAATATAGGACATTTTCTCCATCCTACATTTAGTTTCTCCTTTTTCAACATCAATTCATGCGTTTCTTCATCTACTTCAATTATTATCGAACCTTCTTCTTTTTCTCTTCTTGTCATACCGATAAAAGTGCTTAGATGATATGTACAAAAAATTAAAAAAAGATTACAAGTATATACCCCAAACATAAAGGTATCGACCTCTTCTCTGATGTCCAAGTCAGTCAAATCATTATTTCGAGATGCCGCTATTAAGAGATCCAACATGGCTAGCCGCTTTTTTTTAGCTAGAAGTAAAAAAACACATTAGCGTCAATCTTGTTTTTGCATGTCACGCTTTAATTATATAACATTGTTCTTGTTTAAAATATCGATTTTCTATTAGAAATAATATTGATTTAATTTTACGGCAGACATATGTTGCATTACGTGTAATTATGTGTTTAGTATAAATATTACAAGCATAATTTAAAATATAAAATGATGTAATTGAACTAAGATAGAAGCTGTGATTTCTTACGTACTTTCAAATACTTCGACATCATCTATCTTTTTGTCATTTTCAAGGTTTTTCAAGTATCGATTATTAGTGCGTTCGTGATAAAGTTTTCTTTCCGCGATGATCTACACAGAAGTACGATATTAAATGTTAATGATTTTTTATATTAAATAACAATAGCACATCGTACTATATCATAAAAATTAATAGCATAATGTGTTATTAATATTTATAATTAATCACATAAGCTTGCAATACGAAGGTTACGAGATTTATTATAATTTTATATAAAAGGAAGAGTTTGGGGAAGATTTAAAACTTACTTTTTCTGTAAATCCATGCAATATTTTCAAGATTTTTTTTTGCTTTCTTCCTTGTGGCGATAATGAGAATAACAAATCGTTGTAGAACCAAGGCCTGAGTATTCTAAACCGTAATTCAATAAAATCATATAATTTCAATAATGATTTAATTCCTAAATTAGAGCCGTTATAAAATCTTGAAGTTATCTTTAAGTAAACTCATAGATTATAGAGAATATAAGCAAAAGAATGTTAAACTACATTGCGAGAAGATATTTGGAATCTTCTAAAAATACTTTATATTTTTATTTTAACTACAGATTCTTTTATCAAAGATAATTTCTCTTCAAATTTTATTGCACAATCTTTAATACTTAATATTTTAACATTTACAATATTTTCAACATTTTTAAGATTGCAAACAATTTTCATTTTAAAATGAAACAATTAACGGAGCACATACAATCGATTTTAATTCCTATTTTAAATTTTTATCGAGATCGTATACTGATTGTTTACCTTGAAATGATTATTCAATAATTGATATTTAATAATTTTCAAAATGTATAGCAATATCACGATCATAACTTAAAGGATCAAAAATATATTACACAAGTATTTACTATATAATAAATTACCTGTAAACCAATAATTCGATTATATCGTGACTCGCATTTTGATACTGTTGTTGGAACTCGCCCAATTTTTGCAGAGAGATGCCCATGGCAGTTTCTACAAGTGCATTTATTATATAAGACCGGATATACAATCGAAAATTATTACAGTTGAATATTTCGTAAGTTGCTTTAAGTATGAAAAATCGGATGTTATATATCTTTCCTGCAGCATCGATACTTTATATAGAAACAAATTATCTTCTTATCTTAAGCTATGATATCATGTAGAATAAAAATTCAGAAACTTTACCGCATATGGCATTTAGCGTATGTTCACTAATAAATGGTACTAAATCTTTTACAATTGTTCCTCCGACATCTTTCAAAGATTTTGTCATACAATCGCCCTCCTTGATTAAGATATCAGCAAATTGATTCAATATATTAAAATGAAACGCCGGTGTTAACATCTTTCGTCGTGCATGCCACTTAGCACCTAAAACAAAAACAAAATAACGTAAAATTATGTGATAGAATAGATAAATAATATTATATAAGGTTACTATTCTTCTCTTAATTTAATGTTTATTGACCAATTCTTAAATATAATATTATTGTCTAAAATTTATTGTTTCATATCGAAATATTATTATCTTAAATTTATTGTTTTTATAGCAAAATTTATTTATAACTTTTTAAACCTTCTTCTTATGAAATTTTTGCAATAAAAGAAGTTGCAAGTATCAAAACAAATGTTAAACAAACTGTAACAGGAAAGTAGTACGCTTATATTAATGCTATTATGTTACCTGTGCTCGTGAGAAGTCCTGTACCAAACCATGCATGTAACATGTTATATGGAAGACCTTTTTCGATGTGCTTGGTATTGCTTAGTATCGTCTAAAATCATCGAAAACATGTTAAGAAAGAAACATCAGTTTATTATATCACTCAATTTTAGATACATAAATAATTTATTAATTGTATCTCAAATATGTAATTTTGATCGAGTATCGATATTTTCTATATTCCTCTTTTTAAGCAATCTTTCCTTACGAACAATAATCTTCTTGTGAAACGCAAGATTTTTGAATCTAACTAAATTGCAATGTCTACAGAAAATTGAATTTCTTTTATTACCTCCAAATCATCAGGATGACGGATAGTCACAACATACGTGAAAAAACTCCATACTTTAGCAATGGGATAATACTTATCACATAGGCTATTCAACCGTATCAATAGTTTCTCTAAAAAATATATTATTAATATTAATACAAAAATTAATTTTATCGTTATTTGATTGCATCTATACTCATATATGTTAAACATAGACAATTAATAATTATGATAATAATTTGCAAATTGATATTGTCGAGAGAAGAGCTAAGATATGTAATCTGCATGCGGATATATTTATACGTTACAGAGCACAAGGTTTTATGAATTTAACTTTTGCTTGTATGTGTGCATGAATGATGAGTCATCTGTCAATTAATGTAACAAAATTAGAAATTTTATACTTGCCTGTTGAACCGAATACTAGAAATGCATTGCCAGCAATCGGATAGCCCAGTGGTCCCGGTAAAAGACTGAGGAGTCGCCCATTTCTTCCATAATGTACGTAATAATGATATACCAATAAAATAAACATGGATAATAACAATATAGTGATAAACATTGTTTCTTAATGTTCTTGACCGTTTAATTGAACTTCTTCTTCCTCAGCTACTGTTTTATTGATCCTTGGATTATACACATGTCACAGAATAAATGATATTTATTGCACTACCCAGTTATACATATCAGGTGATTGCATAAGTTCGTGCCCGATTTAAATATAAACTTCAATAGATTATATTTTAGAGATAACACTTTTATTAATCAATTATATAGTCTCCATTCTTTTCTACAATGGTTTTCCAACGATCTACAAGCTTGTCGATTCCATTTTTGAAGAAAGAACTTCGTTTTTCTTGAAAAAAGTTTGTAAGGTGGTTTTCGACAACTTCCTCGGAATTGAGATTCTTGCCATTTAAACTATTCTGCAAAGACCGGAACAGATAAAAATCTGAAGGCGCAATATCTGGAGAATATGGCGGGTGCTGCAGAATTTCCCATTGCAACTCCTGCAATTTTCGCAGCGTCTGTTGAGCGACGTGTGGCCTAGCATTGTCGTGGTGGAAGATGACGCCTTTTCGATTGGCCAAAATCGGACGTTTTTCTCGAATAGCTGCAGCGAGTCTAGTTAGTTGCTCACAGTACTTGTCCACCGTGATTGTTTCGCCGCGTCGGAGCAGCTCAAAGTAAATAATTCCCTTGCGATCCCACCAAACACACAGCAACACCTTCATCGGATGCAAGCCAGCCTTTGCTACGGGTTCTGCTCCTTCAGCTGCTGTTTTCCATGTCCTCTTTCGCTGTACGTTTTTGTAGAGAATCCACTTTTCATCGCCTGTTACCATTCGATCTAAAAAAGGCTCTTTTTTGTTACGCTCGAGAAGAGAAAGAGCCACAGTCATACGGTTTAGCTTATTCCTTTCAGTCAGGAGATGCGGCACCCATGTATCAAGCTTGGAAACGTATCCAAGCTTTTTTAAATGACGAAAAGCGGTTGAATTATCGATGTTCAGCCTCTCAGCAATATCCTCAGTTGTAATCCTTGGGTTTCTTTCCACTAAGGCATGCACAATGTCATCATCAATGCCAGAAGGCCGTCCAGAGCGGGGTTGATCCTCCATGTTGAAATCACCATTTCGAAATCTGCCAAACCACTTTTTGACTGTTCGGAGAGCAGGAGCGCGGTCCAAATAAACGGTTTGAATATTTTTTTTGTGCAATCCCAACACTCATGCCTTTCCGAAATTCATATAACATTACATGCTGCAAATGCACCTTTTCGTTCTCCATTTTTAATGATTTTTCTTATGCACAAATGGACTTATCTGAACAATGTCTGACGCTAAATTGACATAAGACAACGTCATCTATTCGGTGTAAGCAACAATTACCACACGAAAACAATAGAACTCCGCCATGCAGTAACTTAATGCCATCTATGAAAATCGGGCACGAACTTATGCAATCATCCAATATATACACGGAAAAAAAAAATGCTGTTGCTTCAATTAAAGTCTACGTCACGGGCTGCCACAGACATACATAGTTCATTCAGTGATATTTTTATCAGACCAAATATCTGGATAATTGTTTTAATAATCCAGATATTTGGTTTAATAAAAAAATATCATTGAATGAACTATGTATGTTTGTGGCAGCCCGTGACGTAGACTTTAATTGAAGCAACAGCATTTTTTTTCCGTGTGGCAATGCCTGACGCTCAGATTTCGCACAAGTTAATGTGCGCATGAAAAGAATTGTGAGATTACATATTGATATTACTATCAACTCATGATAACAACATACTGACTGCAATAATTTGCTATCGTGTTATAAGTTGTGTACGTTCAACATTTACGTCATTCTCAATAAACACTGTTTGTTGCAGTAATAACATACAAATAACAAAGAATAAATGCAAATTATTTACGTATATGATATTAGAGAATATTATTTTGCAACATTACAACAGTAATGTAACAGAATATTATGGCAATATGATATTGTTCTATATACATGTATGTGTATTCCTTTGCTTGTCGCTACGCAGCGAAACCAGATTTAAGTAAGTCTTATTCAAGTTTCTGTCATGAAATCCATATAAAGTCTACAAATAACTGGTAATAACATAAGATCCAAAGTATATCTTTTTTTGTCAATTTAATTTCTGATACAATCCAACGAAGGATTCAAAATATTAAACAGATTATTTGAAATTGGGCAAAGAATTTTAGGTAAAGGAAATTAGATAAAGGAGAGATAATCAATTTACTGCCCATTTAAAGCAAAAAATTGAAATTTATACATAAATTAAATCGCGTGTTTTATAAGTAAAATAAATAATATTATTTATTTAATTACCAACTCTATGAGCAATTCTATATAAATAAATTCTATATACAGTATGTTCTATATATAACAACAATGTAACAAATGCTATATTACATGACATGTGAATATTTTTGTCATCATGTTTGTAAAAAATATGAGTAAAATATGAGCTCAGAATGCATGTTTTGCTAGCTAGGTACAGAACTGTCAATTGGCTTGAAATCCTCAATATGTTAATCGTAAATAGACATAAAGACAAAGAGAGAGATAAAGAGAGAGAGAGAGAGAAGGAGAACAATCATTGAAAAGCGTTAATTGATTATTTTTTATAATTAATAACTTTAAAGAGCTATAAAAAATATGATAAATTTGTTTATTGTAATGAAAGAAAAACATCATTTGCGTAATAAATGTGTGAACCAAATAAATTTTTTGAATTGGCCATTGTTTATAATTGTATAAGATAAAATTTTGTAAAATTCTATTGCTAATTTTGTAAGATTTTATCTAAATCTAAACAAAGATTGTTAGTATCATAATTATGACGAGTATTATTCTCATCAGTTATCTCAAACATTTAACATACAAGTTATTTTTAGCATTGTTATAATTTTATTTAGTTTATAACTATAAAAATTCTGTGCAAATTTGTAAATATCATAAATCTATAAATATACTTTTATTGCTATGCAAAGATACAAAGTTGCTTTGTAATAATCCGGAGTTATTTAATGAAGCATTTGCAAACTCTGTCATAAAGAATTATTTAAAAAATTTTTATCTTATTCTTAACAAAATTATTACTCCATTCTATTATGTTTTTATATAATATACAAATTATATAATTATTATGATTGCTTAAATGCGTTTTTCTCTCTGTTTTTGTTGTTTATTTATTTAATTGGTTAAAATTTCCATAAATATAATATAATATACATCTAATGAGATTATAACAATCAATTCAAAAGCTAACAATTTGTGGTATTTCAGAAAACTTATGTAAGAATCACGCGCTTGAACTAATTATGATATTATTAATCATATTATTCAGATTTTGCAATAAAATGTTATAAAATTTTATTTTATACAAATACTGCCGATTACCTAATAAAATCATTGATGCGACGATCAGTTGAAACACTACTCAAATGTTCGAAATAGAATTGCAAATGTCTTCAAGCAGATACATGTACCACTAAAACAAATCTTTGTGAACTAATAATAAAAATCTGAGGCGCCTATATTTATAAACGTTTTTCAGTTAAGAGCATATTAATAATGAGAGTGTCATATCTTGAGAGACAGATGGTTGATTAATGCGTGAAACGCATAAGAATTCAATACAATATAAGGAACGAGAATAATAAAATCTCATTTGTACAGTCTTTGTCTAATCAATAGGCTTCGTCTATCGCCATCGCCTAGTGCTTATTTCAGCCAGAATAAAGGTCAATGATTAGCATCGATAAACATCTTCATTAATCATCATCTTCCAATTGTAAAAGAAAGGATGGCAAAATGTCAGAAAAGAGCTTACAAGAAAATATTAGTTTAAATATAATTCTTGCATTTGCATTTATATATCATTAATCTAATGAGTTTGCATTATTAAAAAAGATAGACGTTGAAAGCAATAATAAAACAAGTCGTCGTCTACGTCAAGTTTACGCCATAAAATTGTTGTACTATGAATGTTGCTATAGTGTATATTTAATTGTTTAAATCTGTTTCTTTTTCTGCAAAAATAATGTTATCACTTTTTAAAATTATATTTATTAGAAATAAACAGAGAGAGAGAGAGAGTAGATCCTGTAGATCCTAGCCTGTCCCTGCTGCCCCCGGCCACTGTCGATGCCTTCTTCATATCTGCTTCACTTTCAACTGTAAATCTGTCAAATGGGCCAGAACACGGTACCAATTCTTGATTTTTATCGTAAATCCTATGCTTGCTTACACATCCTGGATGGTAAATCAGCTTAATACGATTCACCTGATAGCAAGACTTGCATGTCAACACCTAATTTTTTATTGTCTTTTTACATGCCGAGCATAGATATTCGGCATATTCATCGTCCATGCCAATAATTATTGGCCGAAATCGCAAATATCAGCGTAAGCGATCAGTCACCTCTGTTCCACTGTCACACGTCAGCACTTTTGTGTCCACCTTTAATGTCTGCCTGTCGTGTGAGACTTTGGTGTCCCAGACAGGAAATGCACTTCTCACTCCCACAAATCAGCATATCCCGGCTAGATAACACTCAAGGCTAATGCCGGTCTATGCCGCTATGACTTGAATAACTTTCTATCAATCCCCGTAACTATTTAACCGTTTAAAAGTTATTACTTTTGCGGAGCGATGTTTGACACGTCTTCTCCACTGCAGAGAAAGAGAGAGAAAGAGAGAGAGAGAGAGAGAGAGAGAGAGAGAGAGAGAGAGAGAGAGAGAGAGAGAGAGAGAGAGAGAGAGAGAGAGAGAGAGAGAGAGAGAGAGAGAGAGAGAGAGAGAGAGAGAGAGAGAGAGAGAGAGAGAGAGAGAGAGAGAGAGAGAGAGAGAGAGAGAGAGAGAGAGAGAGAGAGAGAGAGAGAGAGAGAGAGAGAGAGAGAGAGAGAGAGAGAGAGAGAGAGAGAGAGAGAGAGAGAGAGAGAGAGAGAGAGAGAGAGAGAGAGAGAGAGAGAGAGAGAGAGAGAGAGAGAGAGAGAGAGAGAGAGAGAGAGAGAGAGAGAGAGAGAGAGAGAGAGAGAGAGAGAGAGAGAGAGAGAGAGAGAGAGAGAGAGAGAGAGAGAGAGAGAGAGAGAGAGAGAGAGAGAGAGAGAGAGAGAGAGAGAGAGAGAGAGAGAGAGAGAGAGAGAGAGAGAGAGAGAGAGAGAGAGAGAGAGAGAGAGAGAGAGAGAGAGAGAGAGAGAGAGAGAGAGAGAGAGAGAGAGAGAGAGAGAGAGAGAGAGAGAGAGAGAGAGAGAGAGAGAGAGAGAGAGAGAGAGAGAGAGAGAGAGAGAGAGAGAGAGAGAGAGAGAGAGAGAGAGAGAGAGAGAGAGAGAGAGAGAGAGAGAGAGAGAGAGAGAGAGAGAGAGAGAGAGAGAGAGAGAGAGAGAGAGAGAGAGAGAGAGAGAGAGAGAGAGAGAGAGAGAGAGAGAGAGAGAGAGAGAGAGAGAGAGAGAGAGAGAGAGAGAGAGAGAGAGAGAGAGAGAGAGAGAGAGAGAGAGAGAGAGAGAGAGAGAGAGAGAGAGAGAGAGAGAGAGAGAGAGAGAGAGAGAGAGAGAGAGAGAGAGAGAGAGAGAGAGAGAGAGAGAGAGAGAGAGAGAGAGAGAGAGAGAGAGAGAGAGAGAGAGAGAGAGAGAGAGAGAGAGAGAGAGAGAGAGAGAGAGAGAGAGAGAGAGAGAGAGAGAGAGAGAGAGAGAGAGAGAGAGAGAGAGAGAGAGAGAGAGAGAGAGAGAGAGAGAGAGAGAGAGAGAGAGAGAGAGAGAGAGAGAGAGAGAGAGAGAGAGAGAGAGAGAGAGAGAGAGAGAGAGAGAGAGAGAGAGAGAGAGAGAGAGAGAGAGAGAGAGAGAGAGAGAGAGAGAGAGAGAGAGAGAGAGAGAGAGAGAGAGAGAGAGAGAGAGAGAGAGAGAGAGAGAGAGAGAGAGAGAGAGAGAGAGAGAGAGAGAGAGAGAGAGAGAGAGAGAGAGAGAGAGAGAGAGAGAGAGAGAGAGAGAGAGAGAGAGAGAGAGCGAGGCATGCACGAGTGTGGGAAAAGGAAAGGAGGCGCAGAAATAATAAGTATAATAAAATAAAATATGTGCCAGCGTAAGTGCTGGTAATCTGTCCACTAGATCCACCATGTGGTGACGGTGGAAGATCGTATTATTAATTGGGAGCAGAAGAGGGGGCTGCTTAGGCGTAGTGGTTTAGGATGGACTACTCGAGGAGGCTTCCATTCATACTGGTGGTGAGTCAAGACTCATCGCTGAGCGGCTACGGGGGCCAATTTTCAATCGTTTAATATGATTGGACCGCTCTGGAGACGTGCTGGGGATTTCGTCTCTCCGTGACAATCGGCACTGCATCAGTTGCCCGGAAAGCGAAAGACTCGGGTTCGATTCCCGATTCAGCCACTCGTACCTCGCATATTTTTTCAGACCCGCAAATGTTGTTTTCTAACAGTTATTTGTCGGGCTGAGGAAGTGTATAAACGCCCTACACAGACACGACAGTGCCGCTGCCACGGCAGAGATGGATGCTTGGTTCGTGCCTCCTCCCGCCTTAAATCCCCCCCTCGCTTCACTCTCGGGAACTGTTGTAGATCCTGTAGATCCTAGCCTGTCCCTGCCGCCCCCGGCCACTGCCGATGCCTTCTTCATATCTGCTTCACTTTCAATTGTAAATCTGTCAAATGGGCCAGAACACGGTACCAATTCTTGATTTTTATCGTATGCTTGCTTACACATCCTGGATGGTAAAACAGCTTAATACGATTCACCTGATAGCAAGACTTGCATGTCACCACCTGATTTTTTATTGTCTTTTTACATGCCGAGCATCGATATTCGGCATATTCATCGTCCATGCCGATAATTATCGGCCGAAACCGCTAATATCAGCGTAAGCGATCAGTCACCTCTGTTTCACTGTCACACGTCAGCACTTTTGTGTCCACCTTTAATGTCTACCTGTCGTGTGAGACTTTGGTGTCCCAGACAGGAAATGCACTTCTCACGCCCACAAATCAGCATATCCCGGCTAGATAACACTCATGGCTAATGCCGGTCTATGCCGCTATGACTTGAATAACTTTCTATCAATCCCCGTAACTATTTAACCGTTTAAAAGTTATTACTTTTGCGGAGCGATGTTTGACACGTCTTCTCCACTGCAGAGAAAGAGAGAGAAAGAGAAAGAGAGAGAGAGAGAGAGAGAGACGAGCATTATACAATTTTATTCTTTTCTTTCTTTCATTTAACAAGTTTCTAAAATATTAAAAATATTATGTAATAAAGATATAAAGATCCAAAATTGATAAAATATGAGAGAAAAAAATTACACGCAAACTTTAAATATAATATTATTATCTTAAATTTATTGTTTTATATAACAAAATATATTTATAACTTTTTGAACCTTCTTCTTATGAAATTTTTGCGGTAAAAGGAGTTGCAAGTATCAAAACAAATGTAAAACAAACTGTAATAGGAAAGTAATACGCTTATATTAATGCCATTATGTTACCTGTGCTCGTGAGAAGTCCTGTACCGAGCCATGAATGTAACATGTTATACGGAAGACCTTTCTCGATGTGCTTGGTACTGTTTAGTATCGTCTAAAATCATCGAAAACATGTTAAGAAAGAAACATCAGTTTATTACATCACTCAATCTTAAATACACAAATAATTTACTAATTGTATCTGAAATTTTGTCTATGTAATTTTGATCGAGTATCGATATTTTCTTTATTCATCTTTTTGAAAAACCTTTTTTACGAGCAACAATCTTCTTGTGAAACGCAAGATTTTTGAATATAACTAAATTGCAATGTCTACGGAAAATTGAATTTCTCTTATTACCTCCAAATCATCAGGATGACGGATAGACACAGCATACGTGTAGAAACTCCAAAATTTATAAATAGGATAATATGTATCACATAGGCTATGCAACAGTATCCATAGTTCCTCTGAAAAATATATTATTAATATTCATACAAAAATTAATTTTATCGTTATTTGATTGCATCTGTACTCATATACGTTGAAAATAGACAATTAATAATTACGATAAATTACCAACTCTATGAGTAAATCTATATAAATAAACTATATACAGCGTATGTTGTGTATATAACTACAATGTAACAAATGCTATATTACATGACATGTGAATATTTATGTCATCATGTTTGTAAAAAATGTGAGTAAAATATGAGCCCAGAATGCATATGTTTTGCTAGCTAGGTACAGAACTGACAATTGGCTTGATATCCTCAATATGTTAATCGTAAATAGACATAAAGAGAAAGAGAGAGAGAGAGAGAGAGAAAGAGAACAATGTTTGAAAAGCGTTAATTGTATATTTTTATAGTTAATAACTTTAAAGAGCTATAAAAAATATAGTAGATTTGTTTATTGTAATAAAAGAAAAACATCGTTTGCGTAATAAATTCGTAAATCAAATAAATTTTTTGTATTGGCCATTGCTTATAATTGTATAAGATAAAATTTTGTAAGATTGTATTGCTAATTTTGTAAGATTTTATCTAAATCTAAACAAAGATTAATAGTATCATAATTATGACAAGTATTATTCTTATCAGTTATCTCAAACATTTAACATACAAGTTATTTTTAGCATTGTTATAATTTTATTTAGTATATAACTATAAAAATTCTGTGCAAATTTGTAAATATTATAAATCTATAAATATACTTTTTTAGCTATACAAAGATACAAAGTTCATTTGTAATAATCCGGAGCTATTTAATAAAGCATTTGCAAACTCTGTCATGAAAAATTATTTTAAAAATTTTTATCTGATTCTGAATAAAATTATTACTTCATTATATTTTGTTTTTATATAATATACAAATTATATAATTATTGCGATTGCTTAAAAGCGTTTCTCTCTTTGTTTTTGTTGTTTATTTAATTGTTAAAAATCTCCATAAATATAATATAATATACATCTAATGAGATTATAACAATCAAACCAAAAGCTAACAATTTGTGGTATTTCAGAAAACTTATGAAAAAATCACGCGCTTACACTAATTATGATATTATTAATCATATTATTCAGATTTGGCAATAAAATGTTATAAAATTTTATTCTATACAAATACTGCCAATTACCTAATAAAATCATTGATGCGACGATCAGTTGAAACACTACTCAAATGTTTGAAATGGAATTGCAAATATCTTCAAGTAGATATATGTGCCAGTAAAACAAATCTTTGTGAACTAATAACAAAAATCTCAGACGCCTATATTTATAACCGTTTGTCAGTTAAGAGTATATTAATAATGAGAGTGTCATATCTTGAGAGGCAGACGGTTGATTAATGCATGAGAATTCAATACAATATTAGGAACGAGAATAATAAATTCTCATTTGTCAGCTTTTGTTTAATCAATAGGCTTCGTCTACCGCCATCGCCTAGTGCTTCTTTCAGCCACAATAAAGTTCAATGATTAGCATCGATAATTATCTTTATTAATCATTATCTTCCAACTGTAAAAGAAAAAATAGCAAAATGTTAGAGAAGAGCGTATAAAAAAATCTTAGTTTGAATATAATTCTTGCATCTGCATTTACATATCATTAATCTAATGAGTTCGCATTATTAGAAAAGATAGACGTTGAAAGCAATGAAATAATAAAACAAGTCGTCGCCTACGTCAAGTTTACGCCAAAAAGTTGTTGTACTATGAATGTTGCTATAGTGTATATTTTATTGTTTAAATCTGTTTCTTTTTCTGCAAAAATAATGTTATCACTTTTGAAAATTATATTTATTAGAAATAAAGAGAGAGAGAGAGGGTGAGAAGCGGGTGGAGAAGGAGGAAGGAAAAGGGGAGGAGAGAGATTGAATGATTGATTGATTGATCTTTATTAGCTTTCTCAGCTATTTGTAATACAAATCTAGTTTATATTAATTACGATATACTCCTTTAACATTCGCTTAAACGGCACAATTCTTTCATTCCGCTTTATTTCAGCTGGCAAGGCGTTATACATTTTCATTCCTTCGTAAAACATGCTCTTTTGCGCACTCTTTGTTCTGCGATATTTTATTGCAATATACCCAGCTTGTCGTGTTTACCTTTCACTCTCATTTCCCACAATTTCTAATCTATTTCTTAATTGCTCCGGTAACATGTTCCTTAAAATCTTAAAAATAAATATACACACATTATAATATAGCCTCTGTTTTATGGACATAAACTGCAGCGCTTGCAGCATAAGCTCCACTTTGGTATGTCTATCACATTGCAATATGATCCTCATGGCCCGGTTTTGTGCTTTTTGCAATTTACTCAACTGTGTTTCTCCCATATCAATTAACAGCGTCGCACAATACTCAAAGTGAGGTGCTATAATTGTCTTATATACAATACATCTAGTGTATGCCGATATGTAATTACCTATTCTATTTAAAAAACTCGTTTTTTTCTTCTATTTATAGCATATAATCACAGTGGTCCTTAAATCGTTATCTATCGTCTATAATTATGTCTAGATATTTCATTATTTCCACACGTTCTATCTCAATTTCATCCAAACATTTCAATGTAATATTACGTCGCAGTTCTTTTCTTATACTTCTGACTATCATATATTTCGTTTTCCCTGCATTCATTTTTAACTTATTTATATTCATTCACTCTTTTATTATAGTAAATGCCATATTCATTTTGCTCTTTAATTCCGCGCTGTTTTCTCCAGTTACATATTAACGTGTTATCTGCAGACATTTTTATATTACATCCTTCTAGACAGATTTTGATTATATCATTTATATATACTATAAATAACAAAGGTCCTATTACAGATCCTTGTGGTACTCCATATTCTGTGAAGCATCATTAATTGTTAAATTGAATCTGCTATGTTCTATTCTTTAAATACAGGTAAAATCTTAATCATTTTAAAACTATTCTTCTAATTCCATATTGATACAATTTCTCTAATAATATTTTTCTATCTATTGTTTCAAAGACTCGTTTAAGATCCATTAAAATTACCCCCACCATTTTTGCCTCATTAACTATCAGTTTTCATTCATCAATGACTGTTTGGATCGCTGTTTCACACAAATACTGTTTTTTAAAGCATGACTGATGCTCTGTTATAATATAATTATCTTCCAAATACGTTAATTTAATTTGCTTTTTAATTACTAATTCTAACATTTGTTTAGATATTGGTAACATATTAATTTGCTTCTCCAGCTTTATCTATTTTTGGAATCGGTATTATCGTAGACGTTTTCCAATCTTCTCGATAGCAACTCTCCTTCAAAGAGTTATTTATTATATCAACAAATTCTTCTTTTATTATGCAAATCACTGCCGTTAATTTATCGCTAGTTATTTTACGGTAGTCCCATAATAATTTTCTGTAAATGCTCTATTCTAATCATCTGAAAAATTTTACATAATTTCCTCGTTTTCAGTAACATAAATAATTCTTTTACACGCATTTCCAGGCTTACTTCTATTTATAGATTTTCCTATACTATTAATACTTTGTATAAAATATAAATTAAATTTATCTGCTATATTGCATTTTTCAGTGCTGTCTAATATTTGAAAATCTATATCCTTTAATTTCTTTTTACTTTCTGGTTCGCGCGCGGAAGAGAGAGAGAGAGAGAGAGAGAGAGAGAGAGAGAGAGAGAGAGAGAGAGAGAGAGAGAGAGAGAGAGAGAGAGAGAGAGAGAGAGAGAGAGAGAGAGAGAGAGAGACGAGCATTATACAATTTTATTCTTTTTTCTCTTTCATTTAACATGTTTCTAATGTAACATGTCTCATTTAACATGTTTCATTTAACATGTTTCTATGTAATAAAGATATAAAGACCAAAATTGATAAAACATGAGAGAAAAAAATTACACACAGAAGTAATAAAAGAATTAATTAGAAGTAAAATTTAACGTATAATATACGTACAATCACATATTAGATCATTTTTTTCTATAAAACATTTTCATCAATTTCTTACACTCATATGGTATCCGTGTTAGTTTTGAACAGTTGTTTGCGGCTGATAGGGATGAATTTTATATGAACTGGATGACAAGGACGAATTATCAAATCGGCCTGCAACCGGATATCCTTTAAATAATCTACGGGCTCTAAGTAAAAATTGTGCACCAAAGGAGCTATCATAGCTTTCAACTCCAGCATACCGAATCTTTGACCTACAATTCGAAATCTTATCACAAACTATCGACACGAGTAGAAAAGAAAATCGCGAGCAATTCATTCACCTATGCAATTCCTCGGTCCTGCGCTGAAGGGTAGATAGGAATAAGGATGACGATTCTGCATCCTCTCGGGCAAAAATCTATCCGGATCAAATACTTCTGGATTTGACCAAAAATTTGGATCTCTGTGAACTCCGTAAATATTAAGATGTAAGATCGTTCCAGCAGGTATAACATATGAGTCTAAAAAGCAAAAGTATTACAAAATTACAAAATATACAAATTTATGAAATAAAGAGTTCTTTTGAGAAATAACATGAACATAATATTGTATTCTTCAAATGTTAAAGCAATAAAACTTGTTTTACATTCAATAATAAATACTCCTTATAATGTGACATGTTCAAAAATATATAAAAAAAGTGATTAATTACGTAATTTTACATCTTCTCCAATGTTTCGTAATATGAAAAATACGCTGGGATATAAACGTAGCGCTTCCTTTAAACATCTGTCTAAATATGGTAAATTTTGCAACGATCTCATGGTAAGTTTCCCTCCGTTTTCTTGCATTACGTTATCAACTTCAACCCTCACACGTTCCTATGTCATCGATAATAATTAATGTGTATTTCTTAATATTTCGGCTTTTATAGGCATAGATACAAAAAAAATTCCAATGAATTAAAAAATACATTGCAACAAAAGTTTTCTGTATTATTTTGAATAAAAATTTCAAATTAAATAA